ATAGTTCATGTAAATAATTTGCATAGGAAAAATACAATAAAATCTCTGTCTGAAAACACTCAAGAAATACTTTTAGATATATTAGAACATGAAGGTGACTTACACGCTTCTAAAATGTTTGTAAAGCAGAGTATTAGAATAGAAACCACATACAATGAAAAACACAGCAAATGGGTGAATCTCAAAAGAATGATATTGAACAAAAGCGGTAGATTAGATTCAATGTTATTACATTTATACAAAATCCATATAATGCAAAACTATTTTTATGGATACATAAATATTTTTACGGATGCAAATTTTTTATTTATTTATTTGTTTTTGTACCCACTTTCCAGATAGCACCCTCCCATAGACTCCCTCCCCTGACTAGAGCCCTTATACTCTGATATCCCTGCTACTGTCTGCTGTGTCGTCGGCACCCCCAGCCATTCCCTGCCACTTGCCCTTCTGGTGAATCTAGTCAGCCTATCTAGAGGTCTTTGTTTTAGGAGGGTCAGCTGTTCCTCATCTAGCAGCAGTCAGTTGTCAATATTCCTTTAGATAAGATTGGGGTCTGCTGTTCATGTTCCCAGTTCTATGCTGGGTTACTATCTGGGAGTCCCTTGGGCCACCCTGACCAACAACTCAAAAGAAGGTATCTCCTATCTGGCATTGTTGTTTGTTATGTAGCCTTTAGATATGCATATGGACTCTTAAAAAATTATATTGGCTCCTTTAATCTTTGGTTATACTTTACTTTTGGGTGTTTAAGGCCATACAGTTGGTCCAGATAAACCGATTTATTTTTACTCTTAAGGTCGATGATTTACACAAAATATGATTGAGTGATAATCCCTCATGTCAGGAGAGGGGTATAGTACCTGGGAGACAAACTCAAATATTCCTCTTTCAATGTACGGTCTGAGCATATGGCACTTATAATGCCTTCATGGTTTGTGTGTATAGTTTAATAAAATGTTAATTTTATTAGCATGAAATGGTTTTAAAAATATTTTGCTATTTTTATTTTATATGTATGAGTATATTGTCTGCATGTATGTAAGTACACCCATGTTGTGCAATGCCTACAGAGGTCGAAGAGCGCTTCAGATCCCCTGGAACTGGAGTAACAGATGGTTGTTAGATGCCATATGGGTGCTGGGAATTGAACCCAGGTTCTCTGCAAGAGCATCCAATGCTCTTTACTGCTGAGCCACCTCTCCAGCCACATGAAGTATTTTTGAATATAATTGTATGAATGAATTTTCTGGGAATGCATTCTGCTGCAAATAGAATCTTACAATTAAAGTTAATCTTGTTTTTTGAGATTATTTAAAACAATCTCAGGTTGTTTATAATGTAAGCAATATTACTGTCTTGGGTTCCTCTTTTAACTTAAATATATAGCTTTAATCCCTCATGACCCTGCCTTGCCCCAACCAAGAATAACATGTGTGTGTGAGAGAGTATATATTGTTAAAATAGTGCAGAAAGCAGTCAATATGCTGGAAGCAAAGCATTATTCAGTTTATGTTACAAACAGCAAGTGAGGTCAGCCTGACGGTATCTGTTTGTGGTTGTGTGTTCTGTTCCAGTTCAGTGGGGTTCATAAAGGAAAAAAAAATCCTCTTTTCCTTCTGATGCTGGCTGTACTGTTTCATTAACAACAGAACAAGGCCTTCCTTGGTTTAAGGAAACAGTTTCCTTGGTTAGGAAACTCAAAAGGAACAAGTTCTCAGAACAGATAAGCCTCACTCCTGGTTTTAACCTATACCAAGGGGTCAGTCTGTCTTTGTTCAGGCACTGCCATAAAGCTTAAATAAAAACAGCCTGACTCTTAGCATTCACCCTAGCCAAAAGTAGACCTGAGCTTCCAAGAACTTATTTCAGAACTTTCTTAGAACTGTGCTCCTGAAAAAGTGCCCACTCTTTCGCTGTAACAGTGTATTCAGCATGAAATGAGGAAGTGAAAGTCGGTTGGACCCTTCGAACCTTTATTTTTTCAAAGAAGAATTTTTCCATTTCTGATCCCTAGACCTAGACCAGCACACACAAACATAGATATTATCAATTTAATTTCATGTATTGTTTGCAACATAAATGAGATAATCTTATCTTCTTTGTTTCAAACAAGTACCTTCATTGGTTTCTTGAAATACACACACACATTCATGCATTGTTTTGGGGTCAAGGACAAGGAAGGATTAAGCAGAATCAAAGCTATATGCTTTAGGTTCCAAGAGATCAAGGCTCAGTGAGCTTGGTTAAGATTAACTCTTTGATTGCAAAGTTAGGTGAAAATCAACTGTCTAGAGTATGTAAAAGTCATTCCCACAATGTGGCATCTTTCTGACACATACAGTCTCAAAAAATACCTCCTCTCAATCAGCCACCTAAGTAATACCTTGTCCCCTTACTCATTATCACTTGCAATTATGTATTCAGTTTTGTTTTTCCATGTTCAGTGTCTAAGATCCTTGTTTCTGTGTTCTTTAAGAACTGAAATTATGTTTGTTTTATTGACTACTGTGAGGCTCAAAAACAATCTAGTATATGAAGTCATGTATGTCTGAACTTTAAGGTCCTGAAAGGCCCTTCTGTCAGTGTAGATGAGTTTATCAATAATGCAATGGGAAGCTGTGTTAAATAAAATTAACCAAGATGAGCATGGAACATAAGTTTTTACTACCTACCAATTTTACTTGTATTGGTAGTTGTTACTGAAGGGTCACATCTTATTATTTAATTTTACCATCCAAATATGCTGTCTGAGCTAGTTTATTTCTTTCAAATTTATTTAACTAGAATCAAAAATCATGTTTATATTGTTCTTTCTTCCTGTTTATGCATAAAAGTTTAGGATGTTTTCCCAGTACTCAGATACTGGTTGTATCAAAAAGAACTGGGGGAATGGCTCAGTGGATAAAGTGCCTGATTTAAAAGCACCAGGACCTGAGTTCCAGTACCAGGACCCATGAAAATCTGTAACCTAAGGACTTCAGGAGAGCAAAGACCAGCAGTCCTGGGGACTTGGTGATCAACCAAATTAGCAGAATGGGTGAGCTTCAGTTTCAGTGGTAGATTCTGTCTCAAAAAATAAGATGGAGATCAGAAAAGGAAGACCTTCACATAGGGGCAGGCAACCCCCACCCCCCAACGTGCATATGCATACACCACACACACACACACACACACACACACACACACACACACAATCAAAATAAGGAAATCTAGCTGGGCTGGGGGTTACTTTAGTTTTCACAGTAGATAAGAAAATTTCACAAAATTTGGAACAGAGGTTGAAAGTAAGGCACTCATTTCCTATTCTCATATATAATCACAAGTACTTTGAGGAGATGTCTTCACACTGGAAACACAGTAATATGTGAATTCTCATATTATGGGAATTTCTCATTTAAAAAAACAAACAAATGAGAGATTATAATGACATTAAATGAAATTCTGTATTTGAAAAGTGGGCCAGGGCACAAGGTGCAGGAATTAGTTTAATGAATTTCAATCAACATTTAAAAGATTTTATTATTATTTTTATTTTATGTGTAAGAATGTATTGCCGGCATGCATGTTAAGTGCACCCATGTCATGCAGTGCCCACTGAGGGCAGAAGAGGGCACTGAATGCCCTGGAATTGGATCTATGGACAGTTGTTAGCTCCCATGTGGGTACTGGGATTCAAACTTGGATCGTCTGCCAGTTCGGCCAATGCTCTTAACCACTGAACCATCTCTCAAGTCCCTCAATCAACATTTTTGAATGAAAAAAAAAGAGAATAAGAAGTGCCAAATACAAGCAAATAATTTGCAAAACTTTATATATATATATGTATGTATATGATTTTTATCAAGTCTATCTTATCATTGTGAGTGATGTGTAATACCAAAGGAGGGCCAATGGAGGGTGTGATGACTAGTTTCTACTGTCAACTTGACACAATCTGGGAAGAGGGAACCTCAATTAAAGAATGTCCTCAGGGACTGGAGAGATGGCTCAGCTGTTAAGAGCACTGGCTACTCTTGCAGAAGACCCAGGGTCAATTCCTAGCACCTACATGGCAGCTAACAGTTGTCCTTAACTCCAGTTCCAGGGATTTGACACCCTGTTCTGACTTCCATGGGCATTGCATAACATGGGTGCACTTGTACACGTACAGGCAATACAAACATCACATAAAATGAAAATGATAAATATTTCTTTTTTAAAAAAGGAATTTCCTCAGGGGCTAGAGAAATGGCTCAGCGATTAAGAACACTGGCTTTTCTTACCAAAGACCCAGGTTCCAATCCCAACACCCACAAGGCAGCTAACAACTGTCCGTAACTCCAGTTCCAGGGGATCTGATGGCCTCTTCTGTCCTCCACAGGTATTGTATGACACAGATGCACTTACATGCAGGCAATACATGCATACACATAAAATAAAAATAAATAAAACATTAAAAAAAGAATTTCCTCAATGAGATTAGCCATTGGCTATGTTTGTGAGAAATTGTCTTTACTGATGATTACTATGGGAGGGCCCAGCCTGCTGTGGGCCTTGGCATCACTGAGCAGGTGATCCTGGGCTGAATAAGAAATCTACCTGAATGTGAGCCAGTGATCAAGTGAATAAACAGCATTCCTCCATAATTTCTGCTTCAAGCCTTGCCTGAGGTCCTGCCTTGACTTCCTTCAATGATGGATTATGACTATGACCTGGAAGTATAAGTCAAATGAACCCTATTCTTCCCGAGTTGCTTTTGGTCAGAAATGTCTCATCAAACTAGAACAGAGGGTCTGTAGAGATTGCTCAGAAGTTAAGAGTGAGTACTGTCCTTGCAAAGCACTGGAGTTCAGTTCCCTGTACTCACATCAGGTGGCTCACAATCGCCTGTGACTTCAGCTCTAGGGAATCTGACAGCCATTTCTGGATTCTGAAGGCACTTGCACTCATGTGAACATACACTCACACGCATACACACATGTACACAAAATGAAAATTAAAATAAGATAAAGCCAATGGAGATTGTAAGAAATTATTTATTGAAAATGGAAAGATTACATTTTTTCCCAAGAACTTAAAATGTGACACAGTGCCTGAGAATCACTGGAATATGTCATCTGTACACATAAATAATGGTTTTTCTGATTAAATATATGTGTCTATATATTACAGTAAAAAAATTTAACAACCACCACCTTAGAAAATGTGCTTTCTTTTCTGGAATTGAATGGAACATCATATGATCATACATATACCAGATAGTTCTTAAAGAAAAACTCTTTGGTAAATTAAAACTAAAGTGATGTTTTCAATACTGATAGAAGCAGTCCACACACATTATGAAGTTGACAGCTCAATTACAAATTAAACAAACAGAAAACCCTTCCATGACCATGAAACATGACAACTCAACAAAACTGTGAACCTACAGGTTGGGCCCATGTCAACTTTGACTCCCCAATCTCTAAGAAGCTGGATCGCTAGGGATATATATTCCCTTGTAGACTAGACATTTTTAAAGCTCTCAAGTGCTTTTCTAAATATATACAACTCTTACCAGTTACATGTAATCAATTTTGAAATACTTTTTAATAACCAAAACTGAATAGTAGTAAAATAACTATAGCAGCTTTCGTTGAGGTTTGCTTGAGTTATTCTAGAAAATATTGCTGGTTTTTGTTTCTGCAGAGTCAAGTACAGAAGTGAGCAGCTTGATGAACTTGTAAACATCATGGAAAGAATTATAGAGAGGAACCGGAGCCACGCGGATGCCGTCTGGCTCTCGCTTGTCACACTAGAGAGAAAAAATAAAGCTGTCACATTAGCAGTACCCACACACTGAAATCCTACATTCAAGACACAATTCCATAGAACATTCATTCTGACTTCTTCAAAACAGTACATGAGCAATTTTTGACATTTTAAGCAAAATACGATGTTTCAGTTGTTTGAACTTTGCACTTAATAATACTGACAGTACTACTGGTCTCCGATGTGAACATTCAAATGAAGTTTCTGAAGTCCACTAGTAGTTATCTTTGAAAAACACTGGATTTATCACATACAGAGCTTTCCTGAAGACTGCCCTGGGAGGACCCTCACTGAGATGTGTAGTTTTAGAAGCTACTCTTAATTTAATTTTCTAATCACCAGCCAAACAGACAGGAGCAGTCTATAGGTCCTGGAACTGCTGGCAGGTTCGGAAGTAAGACCTAGCCCAGCTATCAGCATAGTTGTCTTTAAAAAATGCCCATCATAGGCCAGACAATGTAGTCTACATGTATACTGTCCTGTTTAATTCCCGTAAGACTCTTTGAGATATTCTTAAACTAAAAATACAGATGAGAAGCCTCAAGCCAGTGATCATAGAGTCCCTGAATGCACACAGCTGGAAGGGCTGGCTGTGCTGCTACTCTAACCTGTGCCCTGGGGCTGGGTAACCTCACTAAAGCTATGAGGACGACATGAGTCGTCACACACAGTCACTGGAAATACACACACACTGGCCACTTCCCAGAAATTGCTTAGGTGATACTTATCAATTTTCTCCAAGGGCCACATAGGCACAGGGTTTAAAAAAAGGAAAATTATTCCTTGTCATGCTGCCATTCCTGAGATGTGCCACCATATCTTTTGTGACTAAAGTGACAGAATAAGAGTAACTTAGTTCAATCAACCAAGCAAAGTTGATTTATTTATGTCTTTCAATAAAGTATGTTCTTTAATACTGTAACTTAAGTAAATACACATTTTAGTTTTCACAAGTCAAAGTAATGAACTAGGGAAAATGTGTCCTTACTAATTATGATGAAGAAATATTTTCCCTCTAGCTATTCTGAAAAATAGTGAATAAGTTAGATAAGACTGTTTCTCATAATCAAGACTTATGGTTTCTTCCCTTTGATCAGAAATGACAGAGGACATCTGTGGCTTTTAGTTAGCAAAGTGCTGAGTGCTAACGTGGCATTCAATTTTTCCTGACTTACGAACATGAAATTTACATGCCCAGAGTAAACTAAGGAACCAAGGTTCATCCCCAATCTGGAGCCCAAAGGGAAAACCTGGCAGTAACATAAGACGTACACTTACAACGACTCCTCTTTTTTCTAGTTCTTCAAAAACACTTGTCTTGGAAATAGAAAAGCTTAGTGTCAGCTGGCAGCCCCGGTCCTCTACACCGGATGGAGTAATTATGTTCACAATTGGTCTTTTGGTGTCTATGTTTTCTTTGCTGTAGTAATGTTTGATCATGTATTCCAGATAACCAGTTAACAAAATGGATTTTCTCCTCAGTGCTCTCATAGTTGCTTGCTTAAAGATCTGCAGATTGGGAGACATCAGGTTAGCAGTGGCTATTGGTTGACAAGGGTGCAAAAATTAAGTGTAAGTCAGTCTCCTATAAAAAAGGAAATTCCCCGTTTTGATCAATTCAATAAACATCCTATTTTAGAAAGCCTTCTTTTTTTTTTAGTAAAGCATGTTTTTTTAATTGATTTGCCATAAAACATTGAAGGCAAAGTTTCCGTGACAGAAAATATATGCAAATGTCATTTAAAGAATATTTGCAAAGTAAGAAAACCAGCTTAAGTCTATGCTCCTCCAGTTACTTGAAATTAGCACAGTATAATCACCAAGTTACACAAGGTAGGTAATGCATTAAATATCATGAAATTTTATCTTCTCTTCTAAAACCATTTGATAAAACCACAAGTAAAAAGTCTTTCTTTCTACTGCTATCTGTAGCCTGAACTAAAGGAAACGAATAAGTGTGAGTGTGGAAGGAAGGGCACAATGTCGTCTCTACTGTCTTACTGATTCTACATTTCTCCCATTCAATAGCTTTTTTTAAGGTTAAATTATGAGGCTTATTTTTCGCAGACAAGGAAGCAAATACTGTTATAATATATTTATAATTCCTGCAGAATTTAGCCATTTCTCCCTCCCTTCTTCCCTGTACTTCCCCGACTCCCTGCTCCCTCTCATCCATCTTTTTTTTTTCTTACTAAACTCTAGCACTAGTGTAAAATATTGCCATTTGCTGCCTGATGTGCCTATTAGGATGAGTGACAAGGACCCATAATAACTGATAGTGAAATGTTAGGGGTCAGAACAAGCATGCTTTTCTGTTATTTCATAAGGTCAAAGAGAGTTTAAAAATATATTCTCCATATAAGAACTGAAGGAACTGTAAACAGCAGGATGTCATTTAATGTCCCATTTTCTGTATCATGAGAAAAAATATCAAAAACAAAAATAGGTGATTTCATTCAGTGATATCTAGATTTTTATCAGGGTAGGAATCAGCTTTTTCTATATCCACACAACATGTGTGAGAAGGCATTCTAATAGGATTAGAATTAATATATGTGGATTTTTCTGAATCTACAGTACATAAAGCTATGAATTTGTTTATGGCGAGGACTCTTTGAGGCCAGTAGGTGTACTATAATGACTATAGTCAGAGACAGTCCCGGGCAGAGGGTAGCTGCAGGCAGAGGCTGGTGTGTTTGTTTGGGGGAAGTACTTAAGACCTGGGTACAGACAGTATAGCAACAGGACTCAAAGTCCGAGGTGTGTGGAATTTGGTAGGATGCTTTTCTTCATTTCCTGTGCAAAGCAGGATGCTGGCAGACTGGAGCAATGACTCTGGAAAGCTACCATGTATTAGATCAGCACATCCTCAGAGGGCAGGAGCTGAGGCAAGGCAGTGCCCAAAAGCAGTTTGGCTGGTAAGATTTGGAACAAACATTAGTCCAAGTTTATCTCTTGAAACTCTTACAAGAGCAATAAGACAAGAGAAGGAAATTAAAGGAGCAATAATTGGAAAAAAAAAGATCAAATTATCTCTTTTTGCAGATGATATATTATATCTAAGAGATAACGAAACTTCTACCAGAAAACTAGAAATTATTAGCACATTCAGTAAACTGGCAAATTACAAAATTAATATACAAAAGTCCATAGCCTTTCTATATACCAATAACAAACAATCAGAGAAAGAGTATATGGAAACGTTCCCCTTCACAGTAGCTGCAAAAACAAATCTTGGAATAAACCTGACCAAAGACATTAAAGACCTCTACAATGAAAATTTTAAATTGTTAAAGAGATTGAGGAAGACATCAGAAAATGGAAGGACCTCTCATACTCATGGATTGGAAAAATTAATATTGTGAAAATGACCATGCTACCAAAAGTCATTTATAGATTCAATGCAGTGCCAATCAAAATCCCCTTGACATTTTTCACAGAATTGGAAAAAAGTCCTAAGATTCATATGGAAGCACAAAAGACCTCGGACAGCCAAAACAACCCTGAGCACTAAAGTGGTTTTTTAAAAGATGAGACATTTGTTCTTTTTAAAATATTTTATTGTGGGCTGGAGAGATGGCTCAGTGGTTAAGAACACTGAATGCTCTTGCAAAAGACCCAGGTTCGAATCCCAGCACCCACATGGCAGCTAACAACTGTCCATAACTCCAGTTCCAGGGAATCTGACAGCTTCTTCTGTGCTCCGCCGGCATTGCACTACACAGATGCACTTACCTACACACAGGCAATACATGCATACATGTAAAAAATAATAAATGAAATATTTTAAAATTATTTATTTATTATTTATTTATGTGTCTGAGTATTATGCCTACATGTGTGTAAGTGCACCTGTATCATGCAATGCCCAAGGGGGTCAGAAGAGGACATTGGGTTCCCTGGAACTAGAGTTACTATGTAATGTTATTCTCTAGCAAGAAAATAAATATAATTTCCCACTTTACAACCACGATGAGAGTGGCTGTGGTCTTTTTTAGTTATTTTCTTGTTGCTGTGACCAAACACTTGATAAGAAGCAAGCTAAGAGGAGAATGGTTTGTTTGTTTACAGTTTAAGAAGAGATTCAGAATCAGACTGCACACAGGAAGTGGGGCTGCCTATAGAATTTCAAAGATCTAAGGGTGGTTTTAATTTGCATTTCTTTGATTACTAACAATGTTGAGCACATTTTGAGATGCTTCTTAGCCATCTTTATTTCTTCCTTTGAAAACTCACTGTTTAGATCTTTAGGCCATCTTTTAATTGGGTCATTTCATTTCTCGATTCCTTGTTTTTCGAGTTCTTTACATTTTCTGAATGTTAAACCTCTGTCAGATGTGTCACTGGTGAAGATTTTTTTCCCATTCTGTGGGTTTTCTCTTCATTTTTTTGATTGTTTCTTTTGCTATACAGAAGCTTTTTAGTTTAATGAGGTCCCACTTGTTGATTGCTGACCTTGATTCCTGAGCAACTTCTGTTGCCCCTTGTAACCCACTTCCTCCAGTAAATTCTACCTCCTATAGTTTTCTGAACTTTCCAAAACAGCTTCAACAGCTGGAAGTCAAGTGTTCAAACACAGGAGCCTATGAGACACAGTTCACATTTAAATCACACCATGGTCTGAGATCAATTCACACTTGTGGTGGTTTGAATGAGAATGTTCCCCCATTTGGACATTTTGTCCCCAGTTTCTGGAGGTCTTAGAAAGTGTGGCCATGTTGGAAGAAGCATGTCACTGGGGTTGGACTTAGAGAGTTTTTAAGCCTGGCTGAAATTCCAGTCACTCTCTGTTTCCTGTGCCTTCTTCAAGATGCCTCTACTGCTGCTCCAGCCACTCACTGCCACCATGCTTCCCCACTATGATGAACTCTGGTTCCTCTGGAACCATAATTTCAAATAAACTCTACCTTTTAAAATTTACCTTGGTCACAGTGTTTTCTCACAGAATGGAAAAATAGCTAATACAACATTCAAACCGCAGTATGGTCTGAGATCCTTCTAATCTGAAGTGACACATTGGAGTGGCTCAGTGGTGGAATGCCTGCCTAACAACATGTACAAGGTCTCAGGTTTGATCTTCATCAGGGCAAAGAAAATTAAGAAGGGCTAATAGGATTTAGCAGAGACATAAAACAGGTGTCTTTCTCTTTTGCTTCTTTTTACTTCATGTTTTCAATAATCAGAAAAAATAATTTTAATTAGGAAAAATTGAAAATTACAGTTTAAAATAATTTCAGCATTTAATGGAATTCTCAGAAACTTTCACACTGGCTTCTTTTTTGTTGTTGTTTTTGTTGTTGTTGTTGTTTGTTTGTTTTTCTACTGTGGAAAATGAACACAAAGCTCTCTTTTCTCTTAAATTCTTTTTGCTTCTCTTTCTTTTCTTTCTTTTTTATTTGTGACAGGACCTCACTATGCAGTCCTGGCTTGCCTGAACTCTCTATGTAGACCACCATCTCCTCAAACTCACAGAGATCCATTTGCTTGTGATCCTGAGTTCTGTGAAAAAAGCGTGCCCCGCTATACCCCACCTCCCCTAAACTGGTAAACTTAGATACCAATGCCTTATGAAGCAGCACCTTGTATCTGCCTTTGCTGTAGTCTTGGGTTTCTGACTTGCCATGCAGTCTACCTGAATTCTTAGCTTGCATTTTTGAAGCAATTAATACCATCATGAATTTGTATATGTAGCAGATGTACAAATTGTCTACCTATTGCTATATAAAAATATGAACTTTAAAAATAAAATACATAGAAAATGCAAATAAGCAATTGGAAGACTGCAGAAATTCCTGAGATTATCTGCTGTATCTTCATTATGAAAATGAGACAAATTCTTGAAGAGTTTTGCTTCGGTGAATCATCCTCAGCATCCAGTGTGGAATGGCGTGCTGGTTCCTTCCTAGACAAGGGCTCCTCCTGTTGATCCATTGTGCTTTAAATGACTGTGTAAATGATTAACATCCAACAACAGAAAGAAAATGATAATTTGAAACTGATGATAATTACTTTTGATAATATGAATTGAGTACATGTAGTTGCAAAGAAACCCTCATTAATATTTTCTAAGAATTATTTCCTTGAAAATCTATATTTATATTCATGTCCAGTTGATGGCTTAAAAATATTTTTATATTGTGTGTCTATGGTGGGGGAGGATATGAGTGCTATGGGGCACATGTGGCAGTCAGAGGACAACTTAATGAAGTCAGTTCACGTGGGTTCCCTGGATCCAATTCAGGAGGGCATGTTTGTGCAGCAAGTGCTTTACCTACTGAGTCATCTCACTGACCCTGTCCAATTAATTTTTAAGTGTAGAATCCTCTAGTTTTTTAAACAATATTTTGATTGAATTTTTGAGAATGTCATACAATGTATTCTGATCATAGTCAAACCTCCTTCCCCATCTACATCTCCTTATAACCACCACCTTCCCCCACCTGATTTCACGTTCTCTGTTATTATTATTTTTATTTTTAAGGCTTATCGAGCCTAATTTGTGTCTCCAAACACATAGAATATATATTTTCAAAGGAAGGTAAACAAGACAAACAGTTTATTCAATCATTTATTCCTTTCACTTAAACATCCCCAACTTTTCTCCAAGTGATTAAACAAGGTAAGGTCCCTTCCCTTTTTCTTCTTCCTTTATCCTTTCTCTCTCCTTTTTTGGCTTTCCTCCTCTTTCCCTTCCTCCAATGTGTTTAACTCACTGCCACATACTCACATGGCAAGTTCAAAAGTACCTGGAAATTAGGATAATAGAATATCGGAAATGTATATTACTTTGTAATTCAAAATTTTTATAATTTATAATGTGGAGGGAGATTTCTGAAGATTTCTTTAATCAGCACAAAGCTTAACTAAAGCTCACTCTGGTCAGACCATAGCCTTGGCAGTCAATAGCTGCAGTAGGAGGCTCCAGAAAAACACTTCAGAGACAGAAAGAAGCTACAGAGAAATGTATGTCCTGCTTCTTATGGCTCTTAAGGTTCTATTGATGGGCTTAAGCCTAGATATCAAAGGGAAGAAAGAATAAGTCAGTCCTCAGAGTCTGAGAATGAAAGCGCCATGTAAGTGACTCACACAGCCTGGTAGGAAGCCAGTGATAGGATAAACAAGAATCTGCCTCCCTTCTGTGCAGACAGTTTACTAAAATAGGGAGGGAGAAGGCTGGATATGGGCTGTACCCTGGGCTATATAAGTCAGACCCTCTCTTGAGAAGGAAACAATTTTAAAAATCTTAGAGATGTAAGTAAAGAAACCAGAAGAAATGATGTTAAGTACTAGTTCCTCCTAAGGCACAGCTTGCTTGCTTTCCTGTTACAAGCCAGCAAAGGAAAGCAAACTTTCTGTTTTAAAATCCTTAAATAAAATGTTTCTCCAGTGGATATGATAGGAATTCAAATTTTATTAGACAAGTTACTGAGTAGACTTTTCTTCCAAAAAGCTTAAAAGAATATAGATAGTCCTAGGAGAAGAAATATTGTCACTATATCTATTTTCTATTAACACGTGAAAACAACACATGCGCCATCTAGTGGTCAAGATGAGTGGGTGATTTCTGAACTAGGGAGAGAATGAAAAGGAGGGTTAGTTATGCAGAAACAGGAACGTGGCAGTGCCAGCCAGTGGCTAGAATGAGAAGTGGCTGGATTGTGTATTCTGAAGAGATTTCAGAAGTCACTCAACAACATAATTCCCTAAAATAACATGAACTAGATGATTTTAGAAAACAGAGAATCAAATTCAAATTTTTATTTGAGTAGATATAAAACTGGTGTAAAGAGATGGGTTTATTTCTTTAAACACATTTTATTCACATATATTCAATTAATATTTGAATTAATATTAATTCCACGATTTTAATTATTTGATGTGTAATAATTATATGTAACATATAGTTACTTGAATGAAGTTAGACTATCACATAGTATCAAAGATACAGTGGTTTGTTCTCTAGATTGTTCATGCATCTATATTTATTTTTGTATGTATATGTATCTACAAGTGTAACCGGTATGAATTAATTTAAAGGAAAGTACTAAAAGATTATACTAGAAATTATGCTTGGGTACAATGGCACAGACTCAGTGAAACACATATCAACCCTGGTTGACGAGGCCACCTTGGATGTGGTCTGCTTTACTCGCAGTTACCTTCTGAGTTTAGTCTCCTATGACTTTTTCGCTGGACTTTTTGCTGTTTTCTTGGCTCACGGAACTAGAAATCATAGTAATGACTGACACTTAGCATGTTCACAATAAATATAGGTTACTTGAGTGGATTAACTTAGAATTCAAACATAATTCTAAGGATTTCTAGGAAGACTGAGAGAAGATTAACCCACTCAAATCCACACAGATTTTCAGCAGGACAACAGACATGTCTCCTCACATCAGTTCCAGTTGGTGTTTGCTACGAGCCTACAATGCCAAGCATTGTGCTGGTGGGAAAAATAAACACAAGGTCACAATCACCACACAGTCACTGTCCCAATAAGAAAAGGCTGCCTTCTGTCCAATGTTTATGCATATTTATGATCTTCCTGATTCGCAGAGATCTTCTAGGACCTGTTACAACCAGGTATGGAACAGAACGAGGTCAGGGTGTGGGAAGACAAAAGCCCAAACTTCTTACCTCTAAACTAGCATGCAAGGAACAGACCAACAGAATGGGAGGATTGGAAATTCGGAATCCGTTGACCCCAGGAATTAACTGCAGTTCTGAAAAGTTAATATGATGTCATTATTTAGAATATACTTTAAAGAGGGATATAAACTATAAAGAAGCAAAGACTCAAAGAGTAAGCATCGTAAAGTATTTTTTCCTAGGTGGGATTCCTGAATTAAGAAACCTAACAGAATGAAAACTCTGGCACATTTCTCCCCAGTGGCAACTCCCCAAAGGAGCTCTACCTTGTCAATCATCGACTTGACACTAGAACCTTACACAGAAGATAAAAATGTCTAAACCCTACACTCTGCCTTCCTGTTCCCAAGTCAGTGTTTCTTCCTGATGCCATGAGAGAGAACATCAAGACCTGATGGCATGTGATTGTCAGCCAAAGGCAGAAGGATGAGAGAAGAAAAAAAATCAGCGAAGGTGATTTTTAGTGCCAGGCCAAAGGATTATTTTTAAAGTGCTGCAAGATGTCACTTGGTTTGCAGTTTTGAATTTGACTTAGCCTTAACCAAACACTGCAATGAGTACTATTCATATTAAATATGTGGAACAGAGCAACGACATGAGAGATAGATCTTACATGATCACAAAACTATTAAGCAGCAAAGTGGGATTGACACCATCTCTCAGTGCGGCTTTGAGCACTAATTCCCTCCTGTCTTTACTGCCTTATGTTTTGGGTGTCTCCAACCCATGGGATCTGACCAAGACACAGGAACCCCAGGCTACATCTCATTTCCTTTAATCTCTCTTCAAAGGAATAGACTTAAAATGATGCTGAAATCTATAAACACTTAGGCTTACACACTGAAATGTCACTTTTTATTTTTGGAAATCACAGTGACATTTTCAAAGTGCATTCTCCAAGGGGCATGTATATTACATGTAATACAAAGATAGATGGAAATTATAATGAAGATAAAAATAAAATCACATGAAATAAAACTGAATATACTTACTGTTATCCATTTTAAATCTGGTATTGAGTTCATGGCCGAACCATCCCACTAACCTAAGATAGAAGACAGCAGTAGGGATTTTTTGGTCTGCAATACAACTTCTATTAATTTAGGAAGTTGTGGCCAGCATATTAAAATAAATTGTGGTGTAAGTTATCACACACTAAGCAGATAAATACTACACAATAAGATATGACATTGCTATGTAAAACACTATCCAAAATAAGTTAAAAAAAGTTTGTCCACCTTATTTATTTATTTCATTTTAGTACAGTAAAAATACCTAGAGCAACACATTATATTTTCTCTTTTTAGTATTTTATTTATTATTTTTAATTTATGTGTACGAGTGTACTGCCTGCATGTATGTGAGTGCACCCATGTCATGCAATGCTGTGGAGGTCAGAAGAGGGCTTCAGATTCCCCTGGAACTCGAGTTAAGGAAGGTTCGTAGCTGCCACGTGGGTGCTGGAAATCGAACCCGGGTCCTCTGCAAGAGCAGTCAGTACTCTTAACTGCTGAGCCATCTCTCTAGCCCCCATATTTTTTCCTATTTAAAATAAGTATTTCAAATAAAATGTTTAAAATATTTTTAATCCTTAAAATTATTAAAAGCAATAATCCACATTTGTTTTAAAATTGAAAATAAAGCTTAAAGGTTTAAGTGGCCAACCATTGACACACTATTTCTATAATAGAACCTCTAAATAGAAATGGTACCTATAAGACTCAGTATAATTGTTGAGAATATTTGAATAATTTCCTAAACTTATAACTTTGGTTTGAATTTGATTTGCACTGATGAATATGCCAATGAGCCATAGGTAAAATATAGAATATACAGAAAAAATGTATGTGTCTCTCTTAAAAAGAAAGACAAAAAAACAATTTAGAGAAAAAATTAAAATGAGAAAAAAATGATGTTCCTAATCACTAATTCTCTGAAAACAGTGGGAATTTTTATAACTAAAAAAAATTTTATGTGTGTATGAGTGTTTTGTCTGAATGTAAGTGTACCAATGCTTGCAATGCCTCTGGAGACCTGTAGAGGGCATCAGATTCCCTGGAACTGGAGAGACAGATGGCTGTTAAACACCATGTGGCTGTCACAAACTGAACCTGGGTCCTCTGCAACAGCAGCCAGTGCTCTTAATGCTGAACCATCTCTCCAACCCTATAAAGAGAGTTGTTGTTGTTGTTTTTGTTTTGGGCGGGTTTTGTTTTGTTTTGTTTTTTGTTTTTGAGTGATTAATCTTGCCAACTTGAGTAGATTAAGTGATCATGAGGATATTAGTAATCATACCTCTTAGAGCTGTGCCTCAGAGGTTTTTTTCAGAACATCAGTCATTAGGGCTCTGGCCTAATCAGCGATCTATTCCATTGATGGGTTGACACTTTGAGCACCAGGTAGAACTGGAAGGTAGGGCCTAGTGGAGGAAGTAGGCCACTGAAGGCATATCCTGTCACCCTTTTCTTTACATCCTGGCTGCCCTGAAGGGAGCAGCTCTGTCCCACCAGCCTTTCCTCCATGATGCTCTGTCTCACCACAGGCCCAGGAACAATGGAGTCAGCTGACCATGGATGAATACCTCTGAGATTGTGATCCAAGATACATCTTCTCTCAGTTACACTGTTCCTCATAGGTATGAGTATGACTACGGCAACAAAATGGCTGACTAGCACATTATTTTCATTTTAACCTTCTGGAAAAAAGACTATGATACCCATTTTTTGAATTTAGAGAAATGGCTTTAACTTTATACTTAATATATGTGGGAAAATAAAACTTTTTCTTGAGATACTGAAGGGAGTATACATTATTGTTTTATAAATAATATCAAACAAGATTTAAAAAATAATATGGGATGTTGTAAAACATACTAAACAAGTAAGCCTAGTTGTGGCAGAGAAGCACCATCACAACAAACGGAACAGGATAGAACAAAGAGAAGTCATCATTGAGTCATGCAGTAAGCGATTATTGTGATATTTAAAAATGCAAAACTGAAGGAATATATTGATATAGATGTATTTATTTTTATTTATAAGGATGTGCACTTCATTTGGGTGAAAATCTCATTCTATGAGGAGGTGTCAAAGAGATGACAGAAAGTATACAGCAAGTGAATAAGCAAATAAGGAGAAACTTCCTGGAATAATGTTCAATATGATGTCAAAATGCCAAGAGAAATATGTGGGAAGGGGATGGAGGGGAATCAGAAGCTCAGAAGACTCAGGATGTAAACAAATGTTATATGTCTTGGAAAGGCCCCTCCCCAGCCTTTAGAAGCAGTAAACAAGTACTAGAAGAGGGCACTCTGACCAGCCCAGCTGCCTAGATGATGTTTTGGGACCTGTCACGCAGTGCCTGCAAGGTGTGAAGAGGGGTCCTGGGCATTAGCTTTTGTGAGCCATCATTGGTATTGGGGTGGGGGGTATGGTGCTTCAGCTGCTTTTGAGTCATCTCTGCTTCTGTAAGTAACCTCTCACCCATATTTCTGTAAGTAACCCTAATATCAACTCATTGGTTCATCAAGTTGGACTTTGGTGCAATCGTTACTTTGGTCTGTCTTGGATTCCTTTTCAGGAGTGAGTAGACATATGTGTTAGTGTGTATACATGTGTGTGTGTGTGCACGCGCACATGCTATACAACATATAGATTAGAAATGTAAGAGATTAAAATGAGTTTACAGAATCAATAATTTGAAAGGAAAATAAAATGGCAAGAAAGAAATAATGAAGGGTTTGGAAGGAGTGTAAGAAAGGTGGGATACTCTGGGAGAGACAGCAAAGAACTGAGGGGAGTTGTGAGAAAAACATGCAATGGAAAAAAGGAGTTCCAATACAGATTACAGAGAAAGTGGTATAGTCCCTAAAGCAGGAATTTCTACCATAATTATGATGAGCTTCCAAGAAAGAAAAGAACTAAAAGAACATGTGAACATTTTTAAAAGTTGAATGATTTCAAGAGAACTCAGACTGAATAAAGATTGATTAGAATCTGCATATTGAAAAAATGCAACAGCATCTGAGAGTTGCAGATTGCAGTTCACAGGGACCAGTTGTGTTTTAAACTTTTAGGTTTTAAGGAATACGGAAAGAAAAAGAAGACAGAGTAAGGAGTGATGGAAGGTTAGGGAGAAGGAAGAAATGTGCTAAATCTACTAGCTCTACTGCTTCTGGATCAATGAAGGAACTAAGAGAATTTTAAAATAGAGCTATCAGAAGAACACTTAGCTTAAAACAATAAAAAGGAAAGCAAAATATCATATACTGAAATACTCTTTAAAAAGTTCTAGAAACAGAAGATACAGTATTAAGTGCCATTGAATTAAGACCATACATATCTATCAAAGCAATGCATATCAATGGAGTTAATGAAAATCTTGAAAGACAAAGTGATTAGATTACAGTACAAAGAGACTCAGTCAATGAATGATTCAGAAAAAAAAATAGAATTAAAGAAAAAGCAAAGTATAAGTGGGAATTGCAAAAATAAAGCAAGCTGCAATCATTATATCTGACAAGGTGGGATTCTTACCAAATGATTAAGTGGTAAGAAGGATATCTCATAATGTTAGTACTGACTCACAGCAAAGAAAAAAAAAACAGTTGGAAATTTCTAGACAGGTGGCAGGAACATTGATACAGCAGACATCATAGAAGCTGTACAGAGGGATAAATGTCCTAGGAAAGAGGAGTGTAGGTAACTTTTCTAAGTCAATGAAAAATAATGTGAGCAAAAATATAAATTACAAAAGTGAATCTAACCAATAAAGTTTTAATGATGCCATCTGACATATCACAGATTTAGAAGATCTCAGAAGCTATTGATTATATCACAAATCCCTAATGTTTTATACATATTTTAACTATAAGTGAATAAAACTAGCAATTAATAAGAAACTCAGGGCAAAAACATGACCTAATTACCTAGGAAATTGAAAGAAAAGTTTTATCAATTACATTTAGGAAAAAGAGGAAAATAAATTAACCTGATGAGATTCTTCAATTGAATAATGACAAGAATGGTACAGAGCAACTATCTGGGAACACTGCTTAAGCAGTACATAGAGAACAAAACAGCAACAGGCAGCAAAAAAAGAAAAACTAAAATAACCATAACAATGACCAGCATAGCAAATGACCACTATTGCTGCAGTAGTGGCGCTTTTGTCTTGGGGTAATCAACAGCTGTGCTCAATGGTAGGGAACTCATTTGTGGTACTGTTAACTTAGCCAAATAAACATGGTTGAAGTGGTGATAAATGGTCATAGATCATAGAGAAAAACCCTATGTCTTGTCACATCCCTAGACAAATGTAGTTTCTTACTGTATGCTAAGTGTGGGTCCTTATATTTACAGAAAATTATACCTCTCATCATTAATCAAGAAGCTTTATTTTGAAACAGATGGAGACTATTAGAGAGTTCCAAAACTGGTCATGAGATACCTAGCCTAAATTACACATCTACAATGAAACTTCTATATCTAAAACTCACAGAACATAGAGGAATAGGGGTTAGAGAGAATATTAATGAGGATCTCAATTCTCACCAGTGAAGCTTCTTCAAGCAACAGAGAGTGATTAGCACAGAAAGCCACAACTGGGCAAAATGTAAAGAAAAAGACTGCAGAGTACATGTCCCCCAATAGGACCCCTATATTAAACCTCACCCACCCATTGCAGAAGAGGGGGTTTAAAAACAACAACAACAAAAGACTGTAAGAGCCAAGGGTGGTGGATGACCACAAGGAAACAGTTTCCCAGGCTTCTAGGAACTTGCTCATATGAACTTACAGCAAAGGTGAGAACAGGACCCATGCAAACTCAAATCAGACAAAAACACAACATAGGAATGGATTAAAAAGTCCCAATCTTAGCTGAGGAACTATTGGCAGTTCATCACTGTTGGGTGAAGAAGACTTGATCTTCTTTAAAGGAGTGACCCTATATAGGCTGACCAGGCTCCAGTAGATAAATTCACGCTGAGGGATATCTAGGGACACAAACTTGATTTGATATGTGTTAACATATACAACAGAATGT